TTTGCTGTAACCCATATAATTGCAAGGGCACATCAAATATCATACATGGAGCTTTCGTATAATTCCATAATGATTCTCAGCAGAGATAATCCACTTGTGCAAGCAATTTGGTAAGGCCCAAAAAGGCCAAGTGAATTGGGAAGGGTATAGAGTAATCTTCTCCAAGGTGGATGTCCTCCACATGTATGGACTTCATCTCCCAGAATACTCAACAAATGGCTACATTGGCTGGGGAACTGAAATCCATGCACACTTTTGAAGGCAGCCAAATTGGGGAAGACGAATGTAAAAATACAAAATCTGTTACTTGAAAAAAAATCTAGCAACAACTGTAAAAGGTTTGGTGCTGATCCATTCCTCAGCCACTTCTACTCCCCAATTCATCTACCTAGTAGCTTCTGGGATTTCTCTTCTCACTTCAGAATAAGCTGTTCCCTGCTCTGTTCCTACCACCTGGATGTGTGTGACCAGCACACCAGCCTCCAAATTGCATTTCAGCCTTGCAGTTCTATCTTCTACTTTCTTATAAGGATTCCTAGGTGACCCATGACTGCCTACCCCTACCCCCAAATCCAACCTAATGTCTCAAACCCCAAGCAACATCTTAACCCTGAAAATTAGAACACAGCGCACAGGTTTTAACAGGGTAGCTATATGAAAAGTGTATCACCAAGGGAATGGCAGAATCAGTTACACAACTGGATAATATTCCTTGCCAGGTTTATTAACAAAAGATTCCTCCCAGCAATGTTTATTTGAATCAGGGGAACTTAGGTAACTCCAGAATTCAATTCACTGGGGCCTCATGGGGTCCACATTAAAGTCTAGGGGAAGTCAAAATGAACACTTCAATGCTCTAGGCCACTTCTTCCTGGGCCCAACTCCTAGGAACTAATTGGTTTGTCTGGATTACTAATAATGGTCATCTCAGGCGTAGGGGAATTATTTTCCATTGCTCTGACCCCTCCACACGAAGATTATATCGTTAAATGTTGCAGAAGTCAATGTATATGGAAATACTGCTCCAGAATGCGCCAAGCAAATAGTCAAGCTTTTTGAAAAGATGGAAAAAACCAGACAATATAGTTCTTTCAGAATCATCCTGAGTCAAAATGAAAACTCCACATAATTTGGATACTAAACATAAGGAATCGATGAGCGAGTTTGCTTTCTGTCGCATTGTGACTGGAGAGTCCAAATAGATTCCATGGCCATTTCCAAAAGGAATAGAGTTACAGGTTTTGTTTGTTTGTTTTAGAGGAGGAAAGGTTACACCACTGGTTGAGGGCCTTGGCATATACCCTCTTTTTCCCAATCAATATTTTTTTGCACATCCAAGGCTGCAAATAGAAGCAAGGAATGCTGTTTTTTTTTAAAAAAAACATACATACATGTGGTTGGCCTGGCTTTTTTCTTATTAAGCAACAGTAGTTAGCTACTCAAGGCTTTCTCCTGGCAGAGGCTCTATACAAACTTGCATTTGTGGGAAACTTCTAACTGTGGGGAGGGGGAAAACCCTGAAGGCGTGGGATCTTTTCTGGGAATACAGTTCCTAAAGGCAGGCAAGCCCTATTCTGAAAAAGGTAACAACCCTTAGTCTCATAAAGTAGCATTTCCAAACTAATTGACATTCTTAGGGAGAAAGAACTTGAGTTAGAGGATTACTTATCAACATCATTTTTTAAAAAAATCCTAATAATTGAGTTGCAGGCAGAGGCTCAGTCCTTCATCTTATTTCATTTCAGGGACAATAAGGAATTATACCAAACCAACTTTCTTAGCAGCATGAAATATTGCCTCCCTTAAGAAAATATACCTTATACAGCTGTGTTGATATGACCACAACTTAAAGCTAATGGTCATATCAAATTGTTTGGAATCTGTACACCAACAATAAGAACAAATCAAAACTTCAGTGACCTTGGATTCAAACATTATTCTTTGAAATGAGGAAATATTTCAAAAGGATTAGTGGCTAAAGAATCAGATGCATATTTAGTCCAATGTCATTTTGTCACATTTTCTCTCCACTGTATAGCCTTGCTCTTAATTTGTATTCTGAACCTGCTATTATGTAATGCACCTCTCTCAGGAAACAGAACTATATTGCTTGTTTCATTTGAAATGAAAGTGCCAACCATTAATATTAACTACAGGTTTTAATTATCTTGAAATATAAATGAACATTTTGTTTTTGAAATAATTTGGACTTTGTACTGCATACATAAAAGGATAGAAAAACTGAGCCTGCATTTCTCAAGATAGTATGAAGTTTGTGTGTTTCATTTTGTATATAGGCTAAATAAGTTGGGTGTGAATTCTTGGAATTGTTGTTCAACTCATCAGCAACACAGAGTTAGGGAAGTCTGCATTGCATCATGAATACATCACGACTATACCCACCTTTGTCTTCTATCTCAGCAGATGTTACACAGGGTGGACAGTATCTGTCTTGTTTTGTTGGAAATATAGATGATGTAGATATGGTATAAGGAATGCATTGTCTTTTTCCAGAAAGGAAAAAAGTTTCCAAGACCAGTAACAGTGCATTTAGTTTCATTTGGATGGAAGAGCAACCAAGGCAAGAACACAATGGTGGTAAATTGTTAGCTCTGTTCTCTAAATAGGACAGTTGACTACTTAAAGCGCTTCAGAGAGCTATCCTCCATTTCACCCAGTCAAGAAACTGAGCAGGTTCTTCTTGCTAGTTGTACTGACTAGAGATTATGGAGCTGGGTCCCATTGCTTTTTGAAGTATTGAAATATGCTGTTAAATCCACAAGACAAATGCTATTTTCTGTCTTTTCTATACTCCCCTCTCAATGCTACTTATAATGTAGCAATTTTGAATTGGCTTCTCCTAGAAAAACTAAATATTTACAGTCTCTTTTTAAAGCAGCTTGCTGAAGGCAAACTGCGTTGCTGAATCCTTGATTTTGCACATATTGCGTACTATGACATTAAAAATCGGGAAAAAGAAAGAAAATACAGACTGATGTACATTTCTATTTTTAAAACGTCCTAATGCTGATTCATTAAATAACTTAGAAACGTGCACTTTCTTCCTGCAGAGTTTCTAATGAATCTTTAAAAAATCACAGCCTTGAGCTTTCATTACACTAAAAGAGTAATGAAATTGTACTGGCTTAGACAAACATCAATAGACAATTATCTCCTTTTTAAAATCCCTGATTAGTGTGATGATTCTGTGAACCACTATGGGATGTTTACATTTTCTTTTCTAAACTTAAATACATTTTCTATAATATCCATTTGTCATTCACCTGAGAGTAAGCATAGTAGAATTGAAAGCACCCTCTTTCACCCATTATTTCCTGCCCTTTTCCAGTTAATACTGAATGTATAGAAAAACCATGAACTCTGTTGAAAATAATGATAGAATTTAAAACATTAAAACCCCCTTTCTGGTAGCTGATCAACAGCTTTTTGTCAAAATAAATTTTATTTATTTATGTTAACAAGTTTTACACAAAGAAAAAAAAGAAAAAGAAACATACATCATTAATCTGATGAGCTACTATTTTCTGGTAAACATTCTGTCTTATTGACTTCCTATAAATTTCATCAATTTTAATCCTAAAAAGAACTGGGGACATGGAAAGTGGGAGTGGGGGGAGAGATTTATGGTAGGAGAGCTGTTTCTTCACTGTGGTTCCTCTCCCCCCACCCCTTCTCACTCAGATACTAAAGATTCAGGTCCTAATTATTTATTTATTAAATTTGTATACCACCCAAGTTCCCAATGGTTATTTTTGACTACTCAAATAGATAACAGAAAATTAGACACATACAAGTCAGACAGTTTTGGTCAGTGTTTCTCAACCTCAGCAACTTTAAGATATGTAGATTTCAACTCCCAGAATTCCCCAACTAGCATGCTAGATGGACAGAATATTGCTGTTTCATTAGGGATATGTGAGATAATATAATTGCAAAGTATCCTATTAACTAAAACATTTCTTGATGACTTGGCAATTTATTTCTAAAGTAGACGATCCAATAATTTGAGATTGCAAATGAATTTACTTGTAGAAATCCAGGCAATTTTAACATATCAGACTACACTTTGAGCATTTACTATGAAACATACATGATTCTCCCTGGTGTATTAGATTTCTGTTAGCCTATATACCATAGAATACACAAACTTAATTGTTCAAGAAACAATGATATGTCTTGTTTATGTAATGCCACCTTTTACCATAGAATGGGGTGGAGTGGAGGAACGCATGATCAGAATAGAGAATTATTTTCTTGCAACCAAGATCACAGTGCTGTATTCTTTGTCACCCTTTGTTCTTTTCCGATATTTTCAAGGCATGCCATTCTTCCTTTGATTTCATACTAGCTGAGGATCTGTTTTATGAGATGGTAGATACTCCAACATGGGAAAGTACTTGTTTCATCTGAAAAACTAGATTCATTAACTATGCTTACACATAGGACTTGTTTTGAGGTACACACTGTGTTATTTTCACAGTTCCTCCCTAGCTTGATAAAATGGTTTTTATTTGTTGCAACAATATTTATTAGGATCACGGCCAACTTTTTGACAAGTTCAGTTGTTTCCACAAGTGATAACCTTTATGTCTTCAGATCATTTTGACTCATCTACTAAGCCTCATCCATGAAGAATAAGATAGCAGTAATATAATCTAGAGAAAAAATAAAGGCCCAGTTATGCCCTACTCAGGTCAGTTATGCTGCACCTAGCACTTCTGGACCAAAACTAGCATCAGACTGCTTGAAAGTAATTTATAGCTCAGGGCGATACAGACAGGGTGATCTTCTCAGCCTGTTATGGTGCCGTAGTAAAGCAGATCTTATTTTAAAGACTTTATTTGACCTGACTTGCCTTTTAGAAAATGTAGACTGGCAAGATCATATACCAATTATATTCGAGACTTGAGTTTTCTGGTTTCCCCATTTTCAGGTCTGGATTTTTTTTAAAATAAAAAAAAATCTTGCAACTTAAAGGGTTGTTTTTTGTTTGTTTTTTAAACTGTCATTAAGTCTGCACTAGAAATCTAACATTTAAAGTAATCAACATTTTCTTTAAAAAGAGTTGAATTACACATTTTATTTTCTTATTCAACTGTATGGCTGCTTCAGGAGATACAGTATCAAGTTGTTGGGAAAATCAATACTCATTCAGAATCTGGTGAACAACTGCAGCTTCATCTGCCACTTTAAACAAAGCAGTCATTTTGAAAAACTTTAAAAACATCTTACAAGCCCAGCTCCATTAAAAAATGAAAAAACAGAGCTGAACCCAGATGACAGCAAATAGCCACTCTCCCTGCCCCGAACTATAGCGTGCAAATAAAGTGGTATCCTGCGAACCAGTAGGCACTTTTTACAGAAGTTGGCAAAGTAAAGGAGAACTGGTTGGTGAAGCACAATGCAAGACGTCAACCATTAGTCTTCTCCCTGACAAACATGATAGACATTTATGTCCAACATGGGCAGAAAATATTATGTTGGTGGTGGGTCATGCTTCTTTTTCTTGGTTTGGCAGGATTTGCAGACACAACAAATGATGCACGGTGAGGCTAAGAGCAGTAAGGGAGATGTTACCAGGGCAATGATTCCCAGGCCCACTAGAATGCCAACAACCTGGAAGTTGAAAAGAAGAAATAGAGTAATCAGGAAAACCCTATATGTATGAAGATGCAAAACATATACACAATTAAAGCTTATAATAAACACAAATCCAAATTATTAGCATACCTGTGTTCTATTCCACATAACTGAGGCTCGTGAATGGCCCAGTTTATTTCGACAGGGCCCTTTGTCATAGTGTCTTAAGAAGATGTCATTCTAAAAGGCAAAACAGTACCACAGCTTACATGAAAAGGTTCAACCTTCTTGGATGACAAAGTGGTAACTTTAGATTTTTTCCAGCTCCATTTTATAAACTTGGGACTTCACAAAAATGAGTGTCACCAACATTTTGATGCCAATTAACCTTCTATGGAGCAATTACCTACTGCATATTTTATAAAACTAGGCTTTATAAAGCATGCAGCAGAAGCAGGAAAAATTCACTGGTAAATGAGGAACAAGTAAGGCTAAACAAAAAGGAAGATGTATCATTTGCAAAACTCCATTTAACATCAACAAGCCTTATATGTATGAGATCTGCATCTATAACTTTTGATACAGAACTTCAGAGAAAGCAGAAGGAAAAACTTGAGATGCAATCATGAAATAGTAGGTATGGAAATGTTATATTTTTAGGCATTAGTCTTCCTGGCTACAAGTATTTAAAAAACTATAGAGAAAAACCTTTTTTCACAGGCCACTTACATCCAAATTTTGTAGGCAGTACCAGCAAAATGTGTGCTTGCAATTTTTACACATCATTTGAGCACAGCCTTCGTTCCGCTCAATATGGATCCGACAAACTGGGCATTGTTTAATTGGAGCTTCTGAGCTGTTTTTAATAAGTGTTCTAGAAAAGAAGGGGAGAAAATCTCTGAAACAGTCATGGCTGCATGGCTCTTTCCGTAATCATTCACACTGAATGGTTGTCTGGTCATGCCAAGTAGGGTTGCCCAGAAGAATATTGACCCATGTAGGTATGCTTAAACTGGGGGAAAATACTTCCCTTATGCAGCAAACACAATTATTCACATTCAAACACATGTAAAAATAAGAGAGGGTCACCCATGTATTTGGTTATCGTGTTTAATGGTTGTGCAATGTTAGAATTCAAATATTTCTTCCACTGGGGAAATGAGCAGTGGGTGGATTCATCTTATTTCTGCTTTAGTATTCTGTCTTAAAGAGTTGGTATGAAAGTGAAATATATTCCTCATCACTGCTTCCTCATAATGTACAAAGCAGCTCTTAACCAATTCCCTATATTTACTCTGCTGAAGTTATGTCCAGACAACAGCTTCTACTGCGCTCACCCACCAAGAAATTGCCATATTGTTTAGCTACACTGATCCCCAACAAGCCTGTCATACAGACTGACAAAAATCCAGAATAACTGAAGGTACCCATGGAACTGACCTTTCAGAATCAAGAATACCTGAGCTACCTCAAAGTCCAGCATTTCTTCCCTTCAGCTACCAAACAATTATTTAATCAATGTCAGAAACACTATCTCTAGCTAAGGAAATATAGTATTTATAGAAATTTGAATGATATAAAGATTTTGCAACAGCTAGACAAAGTCTTCTCTTACCCTTGCTCGCTGGCAACCCCCACGAAATGGCTTTCTGAGCATGATCCCTCCACATGCCAAGGCTCTTTGCATGATGAACAAAATGTCAAGTAACACCTCTGACATTTTATAGGCACTGGTAATCCAGATTCACTCGGTTCAATTTGGCACACAGTCTGACAGTTAGCAGAGGGACACCAGGTTCTCAGTGGATCCAAATGCACTTCTGAGAATGTTTGTTACAAATCAAAACACGAGTTTAAAAAAAGGTGAAAGATTTACACAATCAGAAGAGAAACCAAAGTATAAACATATGATTAAAAATCTATATTTTAAGTTGCAGCTCCTCTACTTATATCCAGTATCAGTAAACCAATCACAGATGGGAGACAATCAGAAGAGAAACCAAAGTATAAACATATGATTAAAAATCTATATTTTAAGTTGCAGCTCCTCTACTTATATCCAGTATCAGTAAACCAATCACAGATGGGAGAGCTTTCCTTTTACCATGAATAGTCCTGGCATAGTGTTACATAAGAACCAGGCCATTGTCTAATATCATTTGGTCTATATCTACCAGTAAGTTTTAGAAAAGAAGAAAGCCAATCCTGTTTAATTTTATCTGCATTTCAAAAACATAATTAGCTGGGGAAATTATTTTCACCAAGATGAAATTTCTTGCTTATCTAGGTTAGATGGAGGTCTTCATCTTGACTGTGATACATATCCTTCAGTGTAAGATGGAAAACAAAAATAACTGATTTCCCTAGCATGTGTTTCCTTATTTGTTTGTTAGGAGATGTGAGATTGCTTCTGAAAAGTAAGTGAATATCCAGCACCCTACAGAGAAGGAATGATTAGGCAAAAGGGGATTGTTCTTTCATGACATCAGGATCCACTCAGTTGTTGTATGAAACCTGCAAGCATCCTCAGAGAAGCCTAATCATATAATTCATTTCACATGAGAATCTAGAGAATCATAGCAGTTATTCTAGTTTGGTAAAACCTGCAACAGGAAATTCTAGTTCTAGCCCAATTTGACTATGTGATATGAGAAAGGAAGGAATGCAATTTTCTGGCTTTTAAATGGCTATTAGTAGTATTAGTATTAGTATTATTAAATTTATTGGCCGCCCAACTCCAGTGGACTCTGGGCAATGGCACATGGACAGCAAGGGTTAAGGGTTAAAAAAAAAAAAAAAGCAGGTAAGTAGTAAATATTTTTCACATTGTAATGAGGTGTGTGTATGTATGCACATGGCATGGGCCCCGGCTGATTCCCATGAAGAATCTACAACTCTCTTCACATAACCTTGTTGCCATCAACCACTTTACACCAGAGAAATCTCCTCTGCCACTGATTTATCAGGAGAAAAGTGGCAACCTCCTTCTATAGCCTGACCTGGCAGATTGTGTATGTTAGAAGCCTTTTGTCAGAATGAGCCCCATTGGTTCATTAAGAATTGTAAATCTTTATTATACCTAGCAAAATCAGAAAAAAGGAAAAGAAGAAAGAAAAAAGAATGAACAACTGTCATTTGATCTCAGTCAGCTGCTCCTCCCAGCCCAGAATCTTTGAACAAATTATCGCAGTCCAGATCTCAGTCCATAAAACAAAAGACTCTATAGCTCATCTAGCTTCACTGAGCCCAGCTTGCTCTCCAGACTCACTAGATTCCAGCCCACCTTGGCCCTATCTGACTTGCAGCCAAAACAACAATAATACTCAAGACAAAGACCAAGCAAAAGCTTCCCTCCTCTCTGGTAAATGCCAACTCAGGAGGGGAAGTTCACTCTCCTAAGTAGTTCTTCTGCATTTGATTTTTCCAGGCTTCATTTCCTGGATGGACAGATAGTTGATTTCCCTTGCCTCGCCTGATCCTCCCGAACTGAAATTTCCCCACATTCATTGCATGTATACTTATCTACTACGCCATAAAATGGACAGTTTCATTTAGGTTTATTGTGCTGTGCAAACCCATCAATTGTGGCTTAGGATTATCTGCAAGTAAGGCCACTGTAGTCTGTTCAACAATCCATTGGTTAAAAATCCTGACTTAACATGAAGCATCACCCAGCAATAGCCTACCATGGCCCCTTTTCTTTGCTATTATAGTTGTGATCTATGCAGGGGAGCACAGAGATGACCCTGGAAAAGATATTTGGAGACCATCAGCAAAACATGAGTTCAGTCTGGCAAAACAAAATAGTGTGAGAAAGAAACTTAAAACTGTCCCACTTTGAGTCTTTTTGGTATAAGAGGGATGGAAAGGAAAACACTGTCAAGCCTTCAAGATTCTGGTATTTGAAAGGAGAATAAGTATGCTGCCACTATCTTTCTCCCTTGCCAAAGGATAAAAATATATTCAAAATCCCAGAATTTAAAAAGAAACATGTAGAACAAAAAAAAGGAATCCATAACTATGTTCAGTTAAATTGTCATTAAATCTCTTTATTTATGTGTGTGTGTAAGTAAGTAAATAAGTAAGTAAGTAAATTAAGGTTGTAGTCCTATAGTCCTGAAACTGTCATTGAACTAAATGGGACTTATTTTTGAATAGACATTAATAAGATTGTTCCCTCAGTCAAGTAACTTTTCCTACACATTCTTTGCTATTTTGTGAATTTAACAATGCAATCTGAACCCCCATATATTAATGTAAAAGCTTCACCTCTTTCAAATTTCAACTGCTGGTATAACTGAAATTGGTCCTCAGGCACCAAGCTGGATATCTGGGATGAAGAACACAATAACAAAATATTAAGAAAAGGTAGATTACCATTCATTCCTAATAATAACTCAAATAAGGTTTTTTTACGAGAGAAATTGAAAGTCTAATGATTGAGGTGAATTTAAAAATAAAATTGTCTAAATGCAACACTAGTAAATACTCTCAAAATCTCAGCTAATGAACATTTTTTTTAAAAAAAAAAAATTCAAACTCAAGTTAAACTCACTCCTGGGCACCACATGGATTTATTCATATTGTTTTCTTGGCAAAAATATGGAAATATTTCAACTTTGCATCTAGTCTACTGTCCTGATATTTTCTGATGATCATCCAAGTACTAACCAGACTTAGCTTTTTCAAGATTATCCATGGTCAGCCAGATGCTGCTACCTGTACTAAGCCAAAAATGACAATACTAGGAATTTGATCTATAATCCAGACATTTTTCCTACCTAAATTATTCATTTCAGTGAGACTTGGAATACACACACACACTCACACACACAGCCATCCTTAGTGGCTTCTCTATCACCACTGAAAACAGATTCTAGCTATATAGAATCTCTTATGAAGGCTTTCAAAGACAACCCATGTTTTTCAGCATCCTAACAAACAGATAATTTGCTGTGGGTTTGTTTGGTTTTTTTCCCTCTTGACAGTAACAACTCTAAGATGATGATTGACTGTGTGCCAGTATGGAAGATTCAAATGACCAGACTGTCACATGATAATGATCATAATTACTAAAATGCCACTTGCTGAATATACTCAGATTACTCCCTTGTGCAAGATTCTAATCATTCCAGCACTCAACTCCTTCTCTACCCAGAGCAAATGCATCCCTAGGCAAAAAGGATGTATCATCAGACAGAACGGGCCCTGTTAGCATCCCCCACTGATATTAATCGTTTGGATTCTATTCTGCTTTCCACTGCAGCAGTAATGTAATGACATCTGTGAGTATCCTAAAGTGAAACGCTATTCTAAGTCATACCCTTGGATACTGACATCTGAGAATCAGGAAGAGGGAAGAAGCATATGTAATTTTATTCATGCAAAGTATTCTGCCCTTTTTAATAAAAATATACATCAGTGCAGTCACCAAGTGGATATAGTTTGAAAAGCAGATATTTAGACTCATACTTCATGTAAATAATTTGTTGTAACAATAACACACACACACCAAAAAAACAAAACAAAAACAAAACAGAAGAAGGAAATGGGACAGTGATTACAAGATCCTATTGTAGTGAAAGCCCTGCTGCTAATTGCCACCACACACTTCAAAAGGCAACAGGATATGCTAAAGCTGCCTCACCCCCTACCCACGCATACATGCCATTAACTTCTTTGTCACAGGAAAAACTAGTTTGTGAATTCTTGCCGAGGGTTGCACAAACTCTAGCTCTGCAACTAATAAAAGTGCCTCATCAAAATGCATGCGCCATTTACCTCCCCTCCAGCAAATAATGTCAGACAGTAACATTACTATCTTACTATTTTATTACTGAAGCAACCTCAAAATAATTTCTCAGGGACATTCAGTTTATCTTGTATATATAATATATAATAGACAACATAACTGTCTACAGATAAGTCACCTAGAGTAATCCTATTTAAGTGCCAGTAATAATGCATGCCAGGTAATGAATGCTATTGACACTGTGATTTCAGAATTGTATTTCTTCAAATCAAGGTGATAGATTTAATATGCTTTTACTCTCTCTCTTTCTCTCATCCCTCCTATTTTTAGTTTCCAATGGATGTCAGTTTATTGCTACCCCTACTCTAGCAAGAGAGCACACATTATTCCTATCATAAAATATTCATTTCCGTTCATTAAATACCTCCCTCGCCATCTCAAACAAGACTTTGAGGATTTGTTAGGAGGAAGCAATATGTATAGAAAGAAATGAAATAATTGGGTATAGAAAAGCAAACATCTTTGGGCAATGTTTCTCCTTTTTGTTATGGAATATAAAAATAAAACAAGCCAAAATTCAAAACAATAGAATAGTGAGGAAACATCACACAAGAGAGCATAATGTTATTATTAATAATAAAGAGTTTGGAAAGTATATACCCAGAGACAGAGGTTTGTATTCCCCAGACAATGAGATTATATAATGCAAAATTTTATAGCAGTCAATGGAAAGCAGATGTTTACTGTCAGTTCATATTTGATCATATTTGTTGTGATAGGAAATAAATGCACAGCTCTCCCAAACAAACCCATTTATCTCCCAAACATCCATTACAATACCACTACGAGGTGATCTCAGAAAAAAATGACGAGCTCAGAGGAGCTGAAGGCAACAAATAGGGACATGGATTTAAGCACAGAAAAGCAGACTCCTTGGAATAAAGTGAATATATAACTAAATTAAGAGGATATTTCCATGTTATCCTATCCTCTAAGCCCAGGACGACAACTTTTCAATGTCTCAAGAGGGTGATCAAGCTTCCTTCTTGAATCAACTGTAATAGCATAATGGGGAGGAGTTACTTGCACATTTAGGGCTCTTCTTCATAACCCCCACCATTCCTCCAGTCCTTGAATCCGCAGAAAACTATGCCAGAATAATTTGCACTGCCCCAACTGCCAAGCACAAATCTTACTTGCTAACAAGGCTTGTGAATGATTCTGTCTTTAAAGTTTTACTGCAGGACAATTTAAGGGCAATGATTAGTAAATTTCCCTAGCTTTAGTTCCTCTCTCACCCAGCATCACAAGCTGACAGGAAACCCCCCAGCAATTGCAGTCAGGGGCAGGTCTACGCTAGAAGAGTTAGGTGCCTGGGATGGAGACTTCAGTGACCTTTCAAGTTGCCTGTGTGGGAAATTGTCATTGCAAAAGTCCTCCATGAAATAATCAGTACTTGGGCTATTTCTAAACATGGGGCTGTTGGTCTTCTGGAAAACCAGTAAACCTGTGTCCAAAACTAGGCCAAATGATAGGTTGGTGGGGTAAAGAACAATTGTAAAGTCACCTAGCACATTGAGTGAGTTTCTAATGCTTCACCCTAGATCCATCTAGATTCCTTTCTCCCTTTCCTCTTATCAGCTGGACTATTTTTGGACAGAATTTTACCAATCTTCCAGAGGAATGATTACCTTATTTTCAGAAACAGACTGAATAACAGGTCACAGGCTGTGATGGCATGGCTAACAGACCCTGGGAAAGCGGAGGAGGAAACAGGACTGTTGCAAAAGAGACACCCCAGCACAGGCACCATTCTCACAGAAGCGTGAGAAAGAGACACAGAGCAACTCCGGCTTGATAATGCTGGGTATAATCCAAGCAGGAGAATTGCTTTGACAGGCTTTCAACATCCTGTTATGTTACCTTACGAGCCATACACATCTTTCCAGAAATGTAAGTGCTTCTTGTTTCCAAGTCTGCCACTTTTGCAGGGCCTGATACAAGCACAATGGAGAGGTTCAGGGAGCATTGGGGGTGCTAGTTTCCCACCTAGAAAGGGAAACTGGCTAAAGTTTCAGTTTGATTCCAACTTCCCAATGTCCCAAAGGCACTAATGGAAGTGAGTAGCTGTAGCAGCCCGAAGTATCCTATGGAGTATGTAAAATGTATGGAAGTAAAGTAAAATGTAAAATGGAAAGGATAAAAAGACCCCCCCCCCCCCCCCCAAACAATAAAAACAGGAAAAAGTATAGCCACACAAACTCCCTTATTGGCTGAAGTAGTGAAAAACTTGTACGTAATATCCTAATTTGGGGCAAAACCAACAGCACGCATCTTACAAAACCAGCTTTTTCCCAGTTTAAAATAACCTTACATTCATATGGCACCAAGCTCAGTGAATAAGATGACAGGGAAAGACCATTTTAATTTAGTTATATTTATTCTATTAGGAGGCGGTTCTGTCATTGCCTTCAGTTTCGTTCTATAATGACAACAGTTTTTATTGAATGAATTCAAGTCAACTATTTTGTTTTCACAAATATGCATTTTATGTTTCCTTTTATACCTTTGAACTACAGAACCCTTGAACAAGGAATTCACATATTCAAAACAAGTTAGGCAATACAATAACATTTGGTTTAAGCACCGTGAAGACATATTTCCTGGTTGTCTGTGTTAGATATTCAGAACCTAGGAAGTGAAACACTATTTGTTATACTTCAGGCAGCAAAATGTGCTGAATGATAACTATCTGGCAACCAATAGAGGAGAGTTTGCTATAAGATTCTCATCTCCAATTTCAGTATCCATCAGAGCTCCATTATAAATTATCATGACATTTCTAGAGAAGGATTAGTTTTGCAGTAGATCATTCCTGTTTTTACTGAGTACAACAGAGGAATATGGAAGAATTGTAATTCAAAATAGATTTTGTTTAGAAACATTATGAAATACTGGCAATGCAAGAATTGGTTTCTGAGTGAAGGGTTTTTTTTAAGTGTTTACTGTTTTAAAATAAACGCAGGTGGCTGAGGTTGCTATCTCTAGGTCAACACTTCTACATTTCTAACTGAAATAATGAAAACAATGTCCATTATCGATTGCCATTCCACATCTTTGTTATGAAGCAAATGAGTTCTATCCTGCAAAGGAAAAGTGTGCTTTGGAAGGGAAGAGAAAAAGCTCCTTGATGAATGCTTAAATGATTTGCATAATTGCTAGAGAAACAGCAACAGTGAAATAGAAAGGGCTGTGTAGATAATTTTGTAGCGATCCTTCATCAAATATAATGGACTATGCTATTATTCTGGATTTATATAAGGGAATTTAGATGTCCATTAAGCATTATGCTATTGATTGGGCATATTTCTTAATTTTTTGTATTAGCATTTCGTCGTTGATTATCCATATTTGCCAACTGTTACACACTTCAATCAATATAATTGCATTCATACGTTGCTCTAAGGCTGGGTTCTCCAAAGTGGTATGTTGGTATACTAATATGATCCCTTGATACTTGCCATGCTCTTTGCCCCACCTGGCTTTTTACATTAAAAAAAAACCAGATTGTATTCAAA